TATAAAACTAAAAAAGGAAGGGGGAAAAAAATGCAATGAACACAAGTGATGCAGCCTGACCCAAGCAGCGATCTGGGCCCTCCAGGTGACTCTCTCCAGTTTATATACTGGGCATGACGTTCTGTGGTATGGAATACCCCTTTGACTAGTTAGGGTCAGGTGTCCTGTCTGCTTCCTCCTGGCTTCTTGTCCCCCTCCTCACTGGCAGAGAATGAGAAACTGAAAAGTCCTTGATCAGAGTAAACATTACTTAGCAACAACTAAAACATCCATGTGTTATCAGTGTTGTTCCCAGACTGAAAGTCAAAAACACAGCACTGCACCAGCTGCTAAGAAGAAGAAAAATAACTGCTACAGCTGAACCCAAAACAGGGGAGTTAACTGGGAGCTGCTTATCACTGCTAGGGGATGGACTGGACATCGATCAGTGGATGGTGGGCAGTTTCATCGAGCATCACAATGAAATACACACCTGTATGTTTCTTAGGTTTTTTCCTCTCTCTCTTTATTTCCTGTTATTATGATGATAATATTTTACTTTATTTCTATTATTAAACTCTTCTTATCTCAACCCAGGGGGTTTTACCTTTTTTTTCCCCCTGATTCTTTTCCCCATCCCGTCAGGGTGGGGTGGGGACAAAGTGAGTGGCTGTGTGGTACTTAATTGCTAGCTGGGCTTAAACCACAACAACTAGCCAGGGACACAAGCCCTCACCTATCCTTCCCAGGGGACCCTCAGCCCCATGGGCTGGAGGAACACTCAGCACTAGGGGTCCACTGGAGTGTCTAGGGATATGTGACATTATATCCTGTAATGACAGGATGCAGAAAAAAGCATTTGAGGATTGCACAGGACTTGTTACAGGACCAAGGGCAGAGAAACAAGAGATCTGAGTGATCTGTTGAAAAATCATAGAGAGAGACCAGTTGTATCTAAACAGGGTCTGGTCAGCACACGTATGTGTGTGTGTCTAGGGGTGAGCACCTGCATAGAAAGAGGATCCCTGACCAGCTACTGGATATCCAAAGCCAGTTTCTGGGGATCCATAGGGTGAATGAGTGTGTGGTCTGTACCAGCAAGTGGAATGGGATTGCACTGTTGGGGGCCTGTACCTTCAAATGCCAGCAACTGGGGAGACTGGTGAGATCTGGGAGCCAGCTACTGGGTACATCAGTATAATCCTACATAAAAATGGTGCTATGATCTAAAAACAGGGATTTACAAGGTCAAGAAATTAAAAATTAGATTTATAATCCAAACCGTAAAATATACAGACACATGGGAAAGGAAATGTATCACTTTGTATTTTGGGGGAAGTTTTTTATTTGATTATCTGTTCTGGGTATGCCTCAGAAGTTGTTGCCAGCACAAGAAATACGTTCCTGGGGCCCAGAGGCGTGCCAGCTTTACCATAGATACTAGCCCTCCTCCGATACCCATATCACCAGCTCTGTTGCTGTGTAAAAGGTGCCCTCATACACTGCAAGGAGAATTACTAGAATAACTATTCAGCCCTTTAGACCTCTGGCTTCCCACAGCTTTGGCTTGTTTGAAATATTGTCGACTAGTGGCACCAGCTGTGGTATGGCCTACATTATGCCTAGTTTAAAACCAAGAGTAGCATGAAACAAATTGAGTATAAGTAAGTTTTTCTTTGATTTCTTCTAGTACCAATTCCTTGAAGAGCTCCTTGATGCAGCTCCAGTGTCATTTTACATGGACTTTACTGAAAGAGGATGTGGATCTAGATAACCTAGAGGAAACAATAGGTGATCAGATCAAGTTTTTTGCAAATTACAACATAAAAAATTACAATCTACTGTCCTATGTATGCCACCTAAACAATTCAAATGAGGAAGCCCTGAAATATCTCCAACAAGCTGAAGAAGAAGTTAAGAAAAATTACCCAGATGAAATTGCTAGGAGAAGTCTTGTTACCTGGGGGAACTATGCCTGGATCTATTACTACATGGGGAGATACGAAGAAGCTAAAACTTACGTAAGCAAAGTGGAAAACAGCTGCAAAAAGCTTACAAGTACTGCTCCAGGGAAGATTCAGCTTCCAGAGATCTATGCTGAACAAGGATGGGCATTATTAAAGTTTGGGGGAAAATACTACCAGAGAGCAAAGGATTGTTTTGAAAACGCTCTGAAGAATGAACCCGATAACCCAGAATTTAATGCCGGCTATGCCATAGTAATGTATCGTTTGGAAGATTTTTCTCTGAGACAATGTGAAGATGTAAGCCCATCCCTTGAGGCCCTGAAGCGTGCATTAGACCTGAATCCAAAGGATACTTTTATTATGGCCTTACTTGCATTGAAACTTCAGGACCTAGAGCGAGTTGATGAAGGGGAGAGGTATATTGAAGCAGCAATGCAGAAAACACCTGATCTTCCTTATGTCTTGCGATATGCTGCTAAATTTTATAGAAGGAAAAAAGAAGTGGACAAGGCACTGGAGATTTTGAAGAAGGCTCTAGCAGTGACACCAAAATCAACCTTTTTGCATCACCAACTAGCAGTCTGCTACAAAGAAAAGCTGTTTCAAATGAAAAGGTCTACAAGATATCCACCTCAAGAGCAAGTGGAAGAACTCACCCGACTTTCCATTTTTCATTTTAAAGTAGTGACTGACCAAAATACAAAATGTTTTGCTGCCTGTAGTGGCCTAGCAAACATGTATGCACAAGCAAAGAGGTATGAAGAAGCAGAAGAGACATTTCAGAAAGCATTTCAGATAAATATACTATCCTATGCTGATAAACAAGACCTCTATTACCATTATGGCACTTTTCAGCGTTTTCAGATGAAATCAGAATCTGAAGCCATCAGGAATTACACAGAAGGGCTGAAAATTGAAAAAGATTCCTATGGAAGACAAAAATGCATTAATGCCCTGAAGCAATTGTTAGAAAAGAGAATTCAGAAAGGTTTGAGAAATGCAACAGATTTTGGTACACTTGGATTCATTCACAATCTAAATGATGAGAAACAGAAAGCAATTGAGTGCTATGAGAAAGCCATTGCATTGTGTCCCAACAATGAAGAATATCTGAGTGCATTATGTGAGCTACGACTTTCCATCACAAGCTAAAGCTCAAAAAAACCTTCACAAAAAAAAAAAAAAAAAGAAAAAAAACCAAAACAAATCCCAACATTTCAACAGATTCTCAAAATGTTTTTTACGGTTGAAGTTATAACCAGATGAAACATCTGGTAGCATCACTTTCTAGTGATAATGTAGAAACTGCAGATGATGATTGTTCATTTGTTTGTTCATTCACCAACAGAGCATGCTTGGAAACACAAAATAATAGCTAGGCTATCTTAGTCTTCAGTGCTAAAACACAACCTTTATACCAGTGTGTTATCTGAACTTCAAAGGTAGAAATCAGATCTTACGCCTACTGAGAAAAAGATAAGGGAATAGTATTATAGTATTTCATCTGTCCACTTGAAAGGCACACTTATACAAAAATGGAATTTCTGATGCTTTCTCAAATATTTAGAGAATATCTTTTTTAATGTTATTTAGAAGAAATGTTTGTTGAAGACTTGTTCAGTTTACTAACTTGTATGTTGTTTAACTGAAAAATAAGCACTATTTGACTAGTTCTCTGCCAAGCTTACAAAATACGTATTATTGTTGTGAACCATTAAAGAGCATTGCATCCATTGGCTGTTGCTTCTGGTATCTCTCTGCTGACCAGTCCTCATGTTAGTAGATGAAAGAAAAGGAAATGGCCATTTGAAAAAGTAACAAGGATGAAGTTTTGGCAGGACATGAAAGGGTGAGGACATAGCCCCATTTATTTTCCCAAACTCTCAGCAAAGCTGATTTCAGAGGTGTTGCACCAAAGAATTAAGCTGTGCACAAAACAACATCCATCTAGTATACCCCAAACCACATGATCCAGAACTGCTACAGCAAACATCTGGAAAGGAAGGAAAGGCAGTCTTTGAAATACCAAAGAGATGGCTACCTGCAGTCGTGCTTGTGAAACAAGCCAGGGACAGAAAATACACACAAGAAATGTACTGAACTGGACATGGAGGGCAGAGCGCAGCTAGAGCAAAAGGTTGCATGATCACTGAAGAACAGGGCAGCAGAACACAGCGGACATATGAGAAAAGGGGTAGGTGCCCACAGAGTCTATATGAGTGGAACAAAGGGCTGAAAGGACAGGGAGAATGGGTGGAGGTGGTTGTCTTCAGATACCCAACTAAAAGTCAGTATTCTTTATAACAGGCCAGCCTAATTCATAGAATCATAGAATCATAGAATAGTTAGGGTTGGAAAGGACCTTGAGATCATCTAGTTCCAACCCCCCTGCCATGAGCAGGAACACCACACACTAAACACCACACACGGTATTGTGCCTTGGTATGATAGATCATAGAGCTCAGGGGAAACTAATGCTGTGCTTCCAAAACGCTTCTGAGCCCTAACCAGTAGCATAGAGTGAAGCAGAATGGTGGCAGAGCCCATCAGGAAGGATGTGCACTTTTGTTCCCAGCCATCTTGGAGCATTCCTGTCCCTGCAACACCAATCCCATGTACAGTCAGGATGACAGGCCTGAAGGAGTGTAAAATATGATGCCAAATCACGAAATATCAAGAAGCCTCTCCCTTCTCAGCTCAAAGAATCTTTCATAACTCAAGTGAAAGTGATCAGTAGCTTAATAACATACATAATACAACCACACCTTCTTCCTAAGAAAGGGAGAAAAACCATCCTAGTTTCCCAGCCACCTGCCAGCTTCTCTTTTACAAATAAAGGTGCTGGTCCTACCTAGGGAACGA